CAGGCTGTTTAGTTGGAAAATCTCCAATGTTGATGTCTCTAGGATTTCTCTAGGGTTTTATCCTTATTCCATCATGTTCCCCAGAGAAAACTCTTCCAGTTGTCTGCCCAGAGGGTATAAGCCTGGCTGCTGGTGTCCTGAGAGCAGAGTGGTGGGAGATGATTGGGGTCTTGGCATCCAGCTTACTCACGCTCCCTGAATCTCCCTGTCATCAGCAGAGCACCATCCCAAGTATTAACACTATGCCTGGAGTCCCCCATCTAAGATGTCAAATCTGTGATAATAACTTCTAAAAACTGCCTCTCAAGTAATCCTCTTTGTTTGAGTTACCCTTCACCTCAACTTCCAGAGGTATCTGATGCTGCCAATTCCTGAACCTTTGGGGATTTGTTTTCCTCGATTCATTTTTCTCAGTTGTCCATTTATTTCCCAGCTCCTGAATTTTTCTTCCTGTGGTTTCATCTCCTGTCCTCCCCATCCTCCTAGGCTCCTACCTTCAAACAGTTAAGAAGCCCGTTTATTGTTGTTTTGGCATTCAAGAGGTGGGGAGAAGCCAAGTGGCTTTGCGTGTCCAATCTGTCACCTTTACGTCGATGTCTTCTCTCTGTGTTGCCTTTCCCGTCCAAGTGAAATGGAGACTCCATGCTTTCGGTTGCTGACGTCCAAACTTCGGAGCCATTCTTGACTCCTTCTCCTATGCGCCATGTCCACTCTCTCAGCAGCTGTCTGAACTTTACCTTCGAAACTTGTGCAGGCACTTCCCTGGTGGTCCATGTGTCTGGGGGTCCGTCTGCCAGTGCAGGGGTCGTGGGTTTGATCCCTGGTTCGGGAAGCTTCCCCCTGCCGTGGTCTGCCACAACCACTGAGCCTGCGCGCTAGAGCCTGTGCTCTGTACCCAGAGGAGCCTCTGCAGTGAGAAGCCTGTGCACTTCCACTGGCGAGTAGCCCCCCACTGCGGTTAGAGAAAGCCTGTGCCCAGCAGCGAGGACCCCACACGGCCCAGCATATATTATATAAAGCGGAATTCCACCTGCACCGCTCCTACCCAGGCCCCAGTCACACTGTCCCTCACCTGGACATGGCAGGAACCTCCACGCCACCACTCTTTTTGTCTGTCTTTGCGTCCCCTGCAGTCGGCTCTCTGTAGCTTTTTTATCTGTCATGTCCGTCGCTCCTCTTTCTAAAGCTCTCCTGTGGCTCCCACTTCACTCTGAAAGAAGAGCTCAAATCCCAACAAGGTCAACAGGAGCCTACACGATCAAGCCCCACACACCTTCCCAATCATACTGGCCACTTGGCCATGTCACAACGCGCAAGCCGGCTTCCTCCCCACCTCTTGCTTCCGCCTGGGTCTTCCTCTAGGTATGTTCCTCCAGATTCCTGCAGGGCTCACTCCCCCACTTCCTTCAGGCCACCTTGAGCCTTCCTGGCCTTTCCATCTCTGTTAGCCCTTTTATCTTTCTCTGTTGGGAGCTTCCCTTGTGGCTCAGCTGGTAAAGAATCTGCCTGCAATGTGGCAGACCTGGGCTCGATCCCTGGGTTGGGAAGATCCCCTGGAGAAGGGAAAGGCTACCCACTCCAGTATTCTGGCCTAGAGAATTCCATGGACTGTATAGTCCATGGGGTCACAAGGAGTCAGACATGACTGAGCGACTTTGACTTTCATAGCAACTCTTGAGATTGCATATACTTATATTTCCTTGTTTAGTTATTTATAGCTATCTCCCCTCTCTAGAATGAATGGTCTCTCAAAGGCAGGGACTTTGGCTTGTTTTGTTCACTGGTATATCCTCACCACCTACAATAGTGCCAGGCCTATAGTAGGTGCTCAACAAATCTGTGTTACATATGTGAATGAATGCTTGACCCCAGCCCTGACTAGAGACTGACCTTATTCTTAGCAGGAGATTTTGGAAGCTCTGGGTCTATAGTCCTTCCTGCCATTCATTCATTCATTAATCTGCTTATCTATCCATGCATTATTATTGCTGTTGCATTAATATTTAACATGAGGCTTCCCTAGTGGCCCAGTGGTAAAGAATCCGCCTGCCAATGCAGGAGATGCAAGTTCTATCCCTGAGTCAGTAAGGTCTCCTGGAGAAGGAAATGGCAAACCAGGCCAGTATTCTTGCCTAGGAAAATCCCATGGGCAGAAGGAGCCTGGAGGTCTAGAGTCCATGGGATCGCAAAGAGTTGGACATGACTTAGTGACTAAATAAAAACAACAATGAATAATTAACAGCTAGAAAGTGGCAGAGGGGGGGATGTGGGCCCAGCTGGTCTGACTTCAAACCCCTGGCTCCCGAGAATGCTGCTGAGGCAGGCCCTCCACAAGGTTGGGGAATTAAGATTAAGACCCAGTTCCTCATCTTTGGGGAAGAAGTTAGAACAGAGCCTGGTTCCAGGCTGTCTGTGTTCATGAGCATCTCCCTGCTGGGTGGACAATCCTTGAGAGAGGCTGGCAAGGTCCAGCTCCAATGATGCTGTCTCGCGGAAGGCCCCCAAGACTGCCTGAGGCGGATCAGCTGCTCCTTGGCTGCTTCATTGGGGCTGTGCACGTCCTTCTATCAGGTGAGCGTTTCCTGTAAGTGGCTGTCATGCTCTGTCTAGGCTCAGCTATGAGCTCTTCTGAGACAGAGGCTGGGTCATGCTCAACTCAGTGTCCCAACAGCCCAGAGTGAGGCCTCTAAAGGAGCAACTGATGAATGATGATAAACGATGCAGAACAGGGATGTGGTTGAAACGGGGCCTGAGTTCAATGTCAAGCTCTACCACTCACTGACTGAGTGTGATCTGGGGAACTTCCTCAGGGCCCTGGGCCTCAATTCCTTATCTACACAACGGGGGGATAACATAGCCCCCCGTTCCATGAGGATTCAGGGTTAATGACTGAAACGGCTTTGCACAGTCCCTGGCGTGGAGTAGGCCGATGATTAGAAATTACTGCTCTTGGGAGCCAGGCCTCTCTGGCTCTGGTCCACCGGCTCTGCACACCCCTTCCCCCACAGCAGGTGCCCCCACCTGACTTCTTCCTGGTGCCCAGGGCAGCTGCTGGGTTCTTGGTCCGCCAGCTGGGCCCTCTGCCATGGAGGGATTGGCCTTTCTGCATTTGGTGGTTGGCCTCCAGACAGCCTGGGCCTGACACATCATGTCCTTGTTTGCTGACCAAACTGGAGATAGTCATATATGGAGCAACCGAGGCCACCCTCGGTGTAGCGACAGGGCAGCGGGGCTCTGGATGAGGGACGGCGCCTGAGACACCGGGACCAGGGCGGCAGGAGGTGCAGAAGCAGGCGGGGTGGGGGCGGGAATAGAAGGGGTGGGGGACAGGTTGATGGGGAGGGGTGTGGGGATTGCCTTGAGGATTTAGGGAGGTCTCTATTTGTGCTGTCTTTATAAAAAAGCCAAAAAGAGTCTGATTAACCGAGGCACACAGATTTCAAAAGCCAGTTTTCTTTGGCAGATCATCAGCTCCCACTGGGAGCTGATGTCAGGGTCCTTAAACTTTTGGGGAGGAGACCCTGTGATTCCTTCTTTGAAGCCTTGAGCTATGGGGCTAGGGGCCCAAAGTGGGCTTTCTGTGTCCTCATAGACATTCTGAATAGCATTCTTCTGTGGTGTTATTAATTGTTAAATTCTTGAACTCCCTCCAAAAACATACCAGGGTCAAGTCTATTGTACTCTGTGTCCCGTTGGTGTCTAGTGCAGTGCTTGCCACATAAGCATGATTGCTACAGCTATCTTTTTCTCTCATTTTTTTTTTTTTTGGAGAAATAATTGACATACACTACTGTATACATTTAAGGCATCCGGTGTGAGGGTTTGATTTACGTTTAGTTATTTTAAGAAGCACTTACCCCAATCCTGAAGTGGGTGCTCCTTTCTTCCTCATTTGGGGATGGGAAAATAAGGTTCAGAGAGGTTAAGAGGCCCAGCTAAGGTCGCACAACTGGAGGTGGCCCAGCTGGGATCTGACCCCTCCGAGGGCGTCTTATGAACTGTGTCAGACTCCCTCTGTCATACTGAGCAAATGTTTGTTGAATGACTGACAGTGTTGACATGTGGTGATGGGTGGATGCATTTGAACAGCTGGCCTTTGCCAGCTGCAGCTGTTTATCAGGGACCCAAAGAGAGAAGGTGATCCCGTTTGGGGGTTGGGGTCAGGCATGGAGATCTACCAGAGATTTAGATGTTCTGGTGGGGTCCAGAGCCACCCAGGGGTGTTTTCAGCCTTCAAATGACATGGCAGGATCTGGTTTCCAGGGTAGAGTGTTCTCCATCCTCCTTTAAAGCCCTTGCCATGATGGGAAGATGCATGGCGAGATTATGCAGCTGACAAGTCCTTATCTCAGCAACCTGGTTCAAGAGCCCGTGTCTTAATCACTGCTCAGGGTGTCTGCCTGTCTAAGCACTCTTATTGGCCACCTGGATTCCTGCAATGCCTCTTCTTGTTTCCCCTCAGGCCTCATCTATTACCCCGCACCCCTTGGTCTCTGTTCCATCCAGCCACACTAGCCTCCTTGCTGCTCCTTGAACATGCCAAGTGTACTCCCGCCCCAGGACATTTGCACATGCTTCTCCAGCATTCAGAGTGCTCTATGTCACCCAGGTGGCTTGCCTGACTTGCCTCCCCTCCTTCAGGCCTTTGCTGAAATGTTGTCTTCTCAAGGAGGCCTTCCCAGATCCTCATCTTTTTAAAAATTCAAACCCCACTTCTCAGCACTCTCTAGCCACCCCCCCAAATTAATTTTTCCATAGCACTTATCAGCATCTGTCATTCTTTTTATTTTACTTGTTTATTGGTTGATTGTCTGTCTCCCTCGACTAGAATATAAATCCCAGGACGACAAGAGATTTGGGTCTGTCTTGCTCATGGCTGTGTCTCTAGTGCCTAGAACAGTACCTGGCACAGAGTTAGTGCTTTGTAAATGTCTGTGTATGGATTCCCTCAAGCTTGCTTGACTCCAGGATCTCTCCGTCATCCTATCTTTGATGAGCAGGTCCAGAGACAGATCCCGTGGCACACCATCAGAGACCTCCTGCGGGCTGACATCGATTCATTTATCAACATCCCTCAAATTGGGTCACTTGACAGATTATGAATCTACTTAACCATCCAATCCCTCAGCCCTGACACATAAGCTCCCAGAGGAAAGAAGGTGGGTCTGATTTGTTTGATTTTATGAGCAAAATACATTTAATTCTTTGCTTTGTACACTCTAATGCTTAATACATGTTTGTTGAAAAAAAAACAAACATCAAAAAGAGCAGCAGGGAAAAGGTCTCCTCCAAAGTAATCTACAAACTATCAATATCTTGTTTCCTTAGGTGCTTGTCAATTCCCACGGGCCCTTCCCACCCCAGTCCCCACACCCCAGTCTTGGTGGGGGAACAGCATCTGTTTACGTACAGACAGGACGTGACTGAGCGACTAACACGCTTTCTTAGGGGCCTGACGGCTCTGAAAGGAGTGAACAGAGAGAAATTGGCTGATAATCTTTAGGGGAATCAGGGAAAATATTATGCAGTTGCATGTATTTATACACAGACAGTTTGCTCTGACCAGAGGCCCTGGGGAAGCGGGAGAGAGGCTGGTGGGTTGAGTGCGGAGTAGAAAAACAGAGAGATTCCACCCTCTCGCTTCACAGAGGTCATGTGGCAAAACGGGGGCTCCAGGCGCCTTTAAACATGTTATTTGTTCGGTGCTCATGAAGCACACGTACTTTATACCAAAATATCTCATTGCATCCTTGTAACAGTCATTTCCTCTCTTTCACAGCAGGAGAAACAGGCACGCAGCAGGCCGGGGACTTGCCCAGGCCTGCAGAGGGTGCTGGGGAAGGGCAGGGAGGAAGCCCCCAGGCTCGCTGGTCCCCACGGTGGCCCCGTCCTCACCTTCACCTCGCTGCCCAGGTCTGGGTTTGGGGTTTGCCCCTTCCTTTGGGGGGAGGCAGTCAAGCCCCGAGACAGTGGGATGGACTAGATGACCTCCCAGACACCTGCTTCCCATCCTTCCTTCCCCAGAATCCCTTCCGGATGCTTGATTCCTGGGCCCAGGTGGCCCACAATCCCCGCGTCGCTGTATGAGCTGGGACTAGTCAGTGGGGCTTTGCCAGCCACGGCCTCCAGGGAGGCAGGAGGGGAAAAAAGGGAGAGACCCAGTCTCACCCTGCAGCGTCAGTCTGGGCTCTGGAAATGAAATGCCTTTTAATTTCATCGTCCGCTTTTCTTTTCTCCCCTCCATCATGCTGTCTGGTGCCAGGAGGCCCTTGGCCACAGCATGCGTGTTTAACAATTCTGATAAAGCCTTTCTTTGGCTGGCTGCATGCTCCCTGGAGCTGGGCTGGCCTGGGAGACATTGCTTCCCTCAGGCTTCACACCTGTGCCCGGGGTGGGGTGGGGTGGGGTGGGGGAGGCCAGAGGATGCCTGGGACACAGTCCTGAGACCTGAGTGCTGGTCCCAGCTCTGCCACCCACTCTCGTTTTGACTTCAGGCAATCCCTGGAAACAGCAGCTCTTCTGTGCAGTGTCAGGATTAGACAAGGTCAGTGGCTTTATAGTATTTTAAGCAGTAAAACCCAGTTTCCCCGAGTGCAAGGCGCTATGGAAGTCTCCCCGTGGAAGGATCTGGTCCTCGGTCACTACTCCCCTGGACCTTGTGTGTGTGTGTGTGTTTTAAAGATGACGGGCTTGTTTCTGCCTTGGGGCCTTCGCACTGACTTTTCCTTTTGCACTAGACTACCCTTCCCCTGGAATGCTGGGGGTGGCGCGGCTGGCCCTTCTCCTGTCGTTATTCAGGAGTTAGCTGGGATGTTACTCCCTTAGAGAAGCTTCTCTAACCAGCTAATGATTAGAGTCGCACCCCAGTCATTCTGTACCCAGTTTCCAGTTTACCGTGTCCTCAAGGCTCCTTGGTACTTCCTTGTGTCTTTATGTTAAAATGTTTATGGGCTCTTTTCCCTACTAGCTTACAAGTTCCGTGAGGATAACTTGGTCTTTTCATTGCTCCCTTCATAGGTGCAAACAGTGAAGGTGCTCAGTCTTTCCTTGATGAATGAATAAATGAATGATGATCTAAAACAGGTGAAGGTGACGTCGATCTGGGTGTGGAGGGCTGTGTAACCCCACTAGTTGGATCATCCCCTCACAATCTCCATCCTCCATCTTTGAGGTCCCCCTGCCCCCTCTTGGGGGCTTCTCTTGTGGCTCAGCTGGTAAAGAATCCGCCTGCAATGTGGGAGACCTGGGTTCGATCCCTGGGTTGGGAACATACCCTGGAGAAGATGAAGGCCACCCACTCCAGTATTCTGGCCTGGAGAATCGCAAAGAGTCAGACACGACTGAGCAACTTTCATTTTTACTTGCCTGCTATGGCAGTGCCACAAAGCCCGGTTTGAAAACCGTCTGGGCTTCTCCTAGCAGCTCTGACAATCCATAGCCAACTCCAAAGATGTGGTACAGCCAGGAAACGCTGGGGCTTCAGAGAAGGGCAAGGTGAGGGCTGGATTCCTCTCCTAGAAGGTGGCCCTTAACTTGGTTTGGGAATTTAGAGCTGGTGGAGAGAGCCTTTGAGGAAGAAGAGAATCAGGCCTGGGAGCGGGGCGGAAGCAGGCCTTCTCCAGACAACCGAGAGCCAGCTGGGTTGGCGGGAGGCGGGAGACTATGGGAAATGTTGGACATGGCCAGCTGTCAGAGGGTCTTGAGTGCTAAGGTGGGATGCTTGTGCCGGATGTCTGATGTATGGGGGTCAGCCCTGAGGTTCTGAGCAGGGTGGTGGGTTCATCAGGGCCTTGCATGTGGGCTATTTAAAAGGGAGAGGGGGGAAATGGAGGCAGGGAGACTGGGGAGGAGGCTGAAAGATGAGGCCTGGGGGTGGGTTGGAACAGGGGTGGGATTCAGAAGAGAAAGGGAATGAAGACGGGAGCTGATTGGGCAGTGAGCTTATTATGGAGGGAAAGGAAAAGGGAAGAGGCTAAGGTCATCTGAAGTTCCCCATCAGCTTATGATGCTCCGGTCCAGGAATCACCCTGGAGGACTGTGTTGGCAGGGATGGTGGGGGAGGGCTGGGCTCATAAGCAGCCCCTCCCTGCATCCCAAGCTTACAGGGAGGCAGTTGCTAAGGCTTCAGAGCCCAGCGGCTTCCCCCACCACTCCCCATCTTGAGCTGCCTGGGCAAAGAGAAGCCTTTGGGGCAGCCCTCGGGTTCGGCTGCAGGTTCCCTCCCTGCAGCCTCAGGATTAGGTCACCCACAGACCTCAGGAGCGGGTGGGGATGACTCAGTGTCGACTCACCCTGACCGCAGAGAATGGGGCACACCATGGAATACGCTGGGAGTGCCGGCCGGGGGTGGTGGCGGGGGCCTCCTTTGGCTCATGAGGGCTGCAATGTCGCGAGCATGTCTGCGGAGGTCTGCATTTCCCAAGCGATGAGGACAAGGTCGTCTTTGCTGTGCCGTGGTCATCCCCTGAACCCTCTTCTCCAGCATGAGCCCCGAGCACCCCGTAGTCCTCACTGTTCAGACAGAAAAGGGGTCAGAATTTAAGGGCACATTCTATTCAGGGGCCTGTTCTAGAGTCTGGGGGAGCTTCCTGGAGCGTGTGCCCTGACCGTTAGAAATGGAGGATATTCTTTGATGTCGAGAGTCAGTTCTGGATCTTGGGGAAAACTTACTCTGGAATTGGAAGACAGATTTCAAAATTCTAGGCCTGTTCCAAAACTCTGGGCTCTTTTTCAGAATTCTTGGGAATGCTTTGGAAGCCTGGGGTGTATTCTGGAATTCTGGGATGTATTTATGAACTCTGGGGACCTGTTAAAGTCCTGGGCTGGCTCCCCGTCATCCTCCTTGCACTTGTCTTATCTGCTGTGATCTGCCTGTACAGTGGTTACAGAGAGGCAGTTGCTATGGCAACAGTAACCGTGGGGTGTATCAACTCCTAGCATTTACTCTGAGTCTGTGACATTTTAGCTGGTGGAAAACCACAGTGAGCTCCCGAGAGCCTGATGAGCAGGGATTCCTGCTAAACCTGACTTTGAGCTTCCCTTCCCCCGCCAACCTCAAATAACCTCCCTCTGGGCCCTGGATCTGGCTGCCCTGACACTCCCTTGGGCAAATGAATATTCAAAAGCAGCCAAAAGTGTATTCAAATCTCATAAACTTCCGCCTGCCTTGCTCCATTTAAATGCAACAGCATCTTCAGTTTTGCCCCATTTATCCGCCAGGAGAGGGAAGAGTCATTCCAGGAGCTGTTTTCCCCGAGTCGCTTTAACCTCCTAAGTGGCTAACGGAGGGGCGGGGCTGGGCTTCTGGCTGTACAGATCAGGCGAGGCAAGGCTCCCAGAATCCTGAGATGCTGATGCTGGACCGCATCTGCTGAGACTGTGGTCCAGGGAGGGGGAGTGACAGCAGATGAGCAGCAGCGGCTGAAAACTAGGTTTCCTGACCCTCAGGTTAGGCGCTCCCCCACAGTGGCCGTGTTCCTAACCAGTAGGCCCCCTGTTGTCATTCCCCTCTCTCCCCCTGGGGGTGTTACGTGGGTCTTGCCTGAGCTAGCCTTCTTGCCTGAGCCCCTCCTTCTATCTACAAGATCATAGACTGTCATGTGTGGAAGACCCTTGAGAATCATCTGGGTTCTGTGGATGGAGAAACTGAGGCCCAGTTCAGTTCGGTTCAGTCGCTCAGTTGTGTCCGACTCTTTGCAACGCCATGGACACAAGGCCTGGCACATCAGGCCTCCCTGTCCATCACTAACTCCCGGAGCTTGCTCAAAGTCGTGTCCATCAACCATCTCATCCTCTGCCGTCCCCTTCTCCTCCTGCCTTCAATCTTTCCCAGCATCAGGGTCTTTTCTAAGGAGTCAGCACTTTGCATCAGGTGGCCAAAGTATTGGAGTTTCAGATTCAGTATCAGTTCTTTCAATGAATATTCAAGACTGATTCCTTTCAGATTGACTGGTTTCATCTTGCAGTCCAAGGGACTCTCAAGAGTCTTCTCCAATACAACAGTTCAAAAGCATCAAATTTTGGTGCTCAGCTTTCTTTATGGTCCAAGTCTCACATCCATACATGACTACTGGAAAAACCATAGCTTTGAGTAGATGGACCTTTGTTGGCAAAGTAATGTCTCTGCTTTTTAATATGCTGTCTAGGTTGGTCACAGCTTTTCTTCCAAGGAGCAAGCATACTTTAATTTCATGGCTGCAGTCACCATCTGCAGTGATTTTGGAGCCCAAGAAAATTAAGTCTGTCACTGTCTCCATTGTTTCCCCATCTATTTGCCATGAGGCCCAGAGACATCCACAGATGGTTGATCAGTGGCAGACCAGGGACTTGAATTTCAGGCTCTCAAATCCCAGCCCAGAGCCGTTGTGGTCATACTCACCTCTCCCATATTATTAGTTATTACCTCATTATTATTATCACCGCATATTATTGGTTCAGCATTTGTCTCTCCATCATCTATGCATCATCTATCCATCCATCTACGCATTGTCCACCTAGCCATCCATCCATGATTCATCTGTCATCCATCCATTCAGAAAGATATTAAGTACCTGCTAAATGTCCTGTACAACCTTGGGCCTCAACAGTACAGGAAGCTCTTGGTTGTCTTACCTATGTCTCTTAAGATTGGGGCCATCCAGTCTATCTCACCTCACTCTTCTGCCGAAAAGAAATTCTCCCACTGAGACCAGCAAGTGCCCATCCCTGCCCCTTGCCCCCACTGCCAGCACACCAAGCTCCTTCTGGCCTCTGCCCTTTTGCTAGTGATGCCCTTCCTGCCTGGGGCCGCCGTGGATGTGTGTGTTTTCAGTTGCTCAGTCATGTCTGACTCTTTGCAGTCCCAGGGACTGTAACCTTCCAGGCTCCTCTGTCCGTGGGATTCTCC